ACATGTAATGTCAATAACTTAAATAATTTAGTGGTTATTTTTTTATTGAAAATAAAATATTTTGAATTTAAATTACATGATACAAACTTGAAATAAAATAAAAGATGAGATATGATTATTTTTCATTGTATAATTAAAATAAAAATAATCAATTATCAATAATGATAAAAAGGTTATGAATTAAACTAAAGTTTACGTTGAAGCACTAATAATGCAAAGCAAAGATACACAGTTAGAGGCCTTCGGGGAGAGGTCGTCTGCCTTCGCTTCTTTTTTTTTTTCCCCTCGTAAAAAACGAATTCTTGTAAGAAGCGAGGAATTTTGTTGGGGACATGTCGGTTATCTAAGCACTATACAGGCAATTGAGCACGTGGTTTGTTTGTTATTGATTATAGCCAGGGTATTCAGGCGTGAGGGAAGGGTGTCTGAAAATAAAATGAAGGTTAAAACCTCATTTTTGGTCTCTCAACTATTGTACGGACCTCCGATTTGGTCCTTAAACTAAAAAAACCCTGATTTGGTCCCTACTGTTTACCATTTTGACTGCGATTTAGTCCTTCCGTTAAAAATTGATTGACGTGTCCCATTACCTAACGGAAATAGATGACAACATGGCAAAAAAAGAATGATATGGCAAAATAAAGAATGACATGGCAAAAAAAAAAACCTTAAAATATTTCCTTTTTTTTTTTCCTTTCATCTTCTTCCTTCCCTTTCATCTTCTTCCTTCCCTTTTGCCTTCTGCAAACCCTAACACCTTCTAACATTAAATCAAAAAATAATACAAACCCAGAATCTCCCCAAACCAATCACCGCCCTAAATTCTTTCTTTCAACCTTCCCAAAAAAACTCAGAAATATCATAACATATTTTTCCAAAATTCAAGCTTCTAAACATAAATATTAAAAAAAAAAAAAAAGAAATCGAACCCTCGCTGGGTTCTTGAGAACCCAGTGATCTGCTGGGTTTTCGATCTGCTAGGCAAATTTTTTCCCTCAACCAAATTTTGCCAAATTCTCAATGAGAACAGCCCACACAAACAAAATATTCACTAGCAAAATAATCAGCTGCAACCCAAAAATATCCATAAAATTCAATCTTCTAAACATAAATATTTTTTTTAAAAAAATCAAACCTGGCAAATCGAGAACCCAGCAGATCGAAGAACCCAGCACATTTGCCTGGGTTCGCACCAAACCGAGCATGCTTGGGTTCCTTGCGAACCCAGCACGCTTGGGTTCCTTACAAACCCAGGCGCTGGGTTCACAAGGAACCGAACCCAAGCGTGTTGGGTTCCATCGAACCCAGGCATGCTGGGTTCGCACCGAACCCAGGCAAGCGTGCTGGGTTCGGTTCCTTGCGAACCCAGGCGGCAAGGAACCCAGCGCCTGGGTGGGTTTGAAGGAACCCAGGCCTGCTAGGTTCCGAGGGGAAAGAGAAGGGAAAGGAGAAGGGGAAGGAGAAAGAGAAAGGGAAAGGAGAAGGAGAAAGAAAAAAGAAAAAAAGAAAAAAGGAAAAAAATTTTAAATTTTATTTTTTATAATATTTTTTTATATTATTTTTTTTTTCACATCATCACTTTTTGGCTATATTATCTTCCATGTGGACTATTATATGACATTCCATTTGATAACCATGAAGTAACAGGCCACGTCACACAATTTTTAACGGAATGATCAAATCGGGGTAAAAATGGTAAATAGTAGAGATCAAATCAAAGATTTTTTTAGTTTAGAGATCAAATAATAGTTGAGGGACCAAAAAGAGATTTTAACCTAAAATGAAACGTGACAATATGTTATGGATGTTTGATTAAGAAATTAGTATGAGTTAATTGTTAATAATTAGTTTTCCTCGAAACACCGACTCCTTCACCCAATCACTTAATATTTGGGCAGGACAATTGGGTGGGTTGGATGAGTTTTGTTTTGTTTTGATTTGATTTGTTTGAAGCGTAAAGATCTTTTGGGGTTGGCCAACGGTATTA